CTCGCCCTAACCCGGATCGAGCTTAGAGAAGTATCAGCACCCAACCCCGTGTAACAGCTACGAACCTCAAATTCTGTCTTTATAGCAAGAAAGAATGAACTAGGATAACCATTTATTTATATATGTATAATTTTACTACAAGTGAGTGGCGAACTTCAATAATAGATGCAGCGAAAAAGTTGGAACAATTTGGAGTTTCATGTCCCCATCCCAGCAACATATATGGTCGTAATAGATGCAAATATGTTGTTTGTGACTATTTTTCAATCCTATGTCATTCCACAGAGCTTTCAGGAAGAAACGTACGGGCCTTCCCTGAGTAACTTATCCTGATTCCAATATATATGTCAGTGCGCCTTCTTTGAAACATGACGATGAGAAAGAATGCATAGAAGAGGCAGACAAAACGGATCAACATTCTGTCAACACGTACCTTGTGGGGAGCGCCAGATAGGTCAGCCCACTGCTGAAGAAGAAGGCTGTCTCCACATTGATGCCACAACGCATTCCCATCAATAATCCGGTCTTCCCTGTTCAATATGGCCACCGGATTGACGGTGGTGTCTGCATGGCAAAGAACTCCCTTAGGTTTCGCATCAGAAAGTGGTTTTACTCAACAAGCAGTGGCACCGAAAGACTTGAACGTACCTGAAGAATATAGTCAAAGCAATAGCCTAGCTGCTCGTAGCGTGATCCAGAGCTCTTGTTTGCTACAAAACTTTGTGATTCCTTTGCCGATCGTAACATACGTAGAAACTGAGAACGTATATCGACGAGGCATCGAATTTGATGAAACATAGACACTTGCCCCCAAAAATGGAAGCCATCAGTTAAGTTCGTTGCTAGTACTGACCCTCCAGTCCTCGGAAGAATGCCACCCCAAAGAATGTCAGCCGCGTCATCGAAACTTGCATATGCATTGTCACCCAGTATGAACTTGGGCTTAGGAGGTGCAGGTTTGTAGAAGACATCGTGCGAAAGAGGAGGAGACGGCCCAAGCACTGTCAAGAAGATGAGCACCGCTCCACAAAGAGACAAGAAACTAACGACAAGATTGTAAGATGTCCACATCGTAAGGCAGACCGCTTTTGTCTATGTGATTCACTGCACTGGAAAGCAAAACGCCAACTCGAATGCGCAATTAAGTGTCGATGCGGCAACTGATGCCGAGAGGACGGGTAATCTCTTGGTGGAATGGATACAGCCTCGATCCGGGCCCACTAGTGCACGGTTGCAGCTTTCGGAACCGCTGTTTGACAACCGATGCTTGGTTTCTCCGGCACTGATTTCTCAAAATTAGCAATGAGAACGACTTCTGTTTTCCTTTCCAAACTACAGTATTATGGATCGAACGCCTCTACCAAAACCCGGGGCTGGATTTAAGTTCCCATGGACAATCTTCGTTCTTTCGACCGTGCTCCTGTTGTCGATCGGCGCATTCCATTTGCGATGGGATCGGACTATTTCATCGTCGCCAATACATCTACCCCAAACCTTCTATACCTTCACGAAGCACCGCGATCTTATAGCATTTGACGAGAACACACAGAAGAGTTGGAACTCTATCATCGGATCAGAATGGTGGGATATGAGTTGGACCGATAGCTCCGGTCAAGTTGTGGTTCGCGGACTAGATATGTTCCACAAGCTTCACTGTTTGATCGCTTTGAGAGAAGAATTCACAAAACTGAGTCTCGATTCTGATCGCCATCTCTTCTTCCAAGGGCAAAAGCCGGAATCTATGGCTGCGGAATTACATTTGGGACATTGTTTTGATTTCTTACGCCAGGTAAGATAAGGTCAAGGGGCAATCTCATCCCTCAAACTAGCAAAAACCTGGCTAATTTGAGGACACTAATCTAGGGTATTCTTTGTGCTGCGGATTCGACTCTTGAGCCCCTCGGACCTGGATATACAGAGACAGACGGAACAGGGGTTTCACACCAGTGTTACGACTGGACGGTGCTTATGTCGCATGCTGGACTCAAGAACCAGTTCACACAAACTCAATAAGTCTTTGAATATAGTTCGCACAATATATCTCTATGTTTCAGCAAGGCTGAGGCAATACCATTAGCAAAAGAGCCAGTCATGTAGCGTCGGTTGATTGAGATATTGTGTAGCCACGCAAATGCATGAGTGCATATTTCTACAGACATTTGGAGCTAACATATCTACAAAAACTAATAGACTGTCCACTGCGTAGGGAGGAAGGCTACTATAGCTTGTTTGATAGAAATTTGCCTGCCCTATCTCAGGTCATCTGTTCCTCAAGAAGAAGGGTGTCGCAACACGTATTCCTATATACAATTAAATTGATATCCCAAATGAAGGCGCATAGAGCCTTACAGGAGCATATGCAAGTGGAAAGGGTGCAAAGTAAAAATTCTACCGTTAGGCGGCTTCAATACGAAATGCTCACTGCAAGAGCCGGGAATGGCTTCTGCTACTTTCCGCCGACCTCGGAGTCTCTTTAGACCGAATTCTATATCTTCCGGTTGTGCATCAAGACAAGTATTGCTCCTAGTCCTAGCTCTCGGATCAGATAATTTCCGAGGATCGAGAGTGTATGCATAACACGTGTACCACTAAAGCTTTCTCCAGCTTCCTCTCGATAAAATCACTTCCGAACCTAGCTTTTGAACATCTATAATCATTCTAACTTCGATAGTCTATATCTAAGCTTTTACCATCAAAAACGTGCGGCAATGTCATACCAGCGGACATCAGGCGAAGAAGCCGCTCCTTTTCTCGATCACACCGAAGATAATGTTGAGAAACAAGAACTGCACAAGGGGGCCTCAATGGGCCACGGAAAGAAAACTCGGATCGGTTGTCTTGTATTGTTTCATATCTGCTTCATACTCATAAACATTCTATGGTTGGCTGCAAATGTCGTACACAGCAATGCGCCTACAAAATCTCCAAAAAATCGACCCAACTTCGTAGGTGAGTTCAGGTGACTACTCCAAAGAAATGCCTTCAACGATTGCGTCATTTGGGCTCTATATAAGATACCCAAAGAGGGCTAGCACTGAGTGTAAATCAGAACCTAAAGATGCGCCCATCGAATGGAAGGCAATAAGGTGGAATCTGCCAGCGGGTAAACGGTCCAATTTTACAAGCTTCGATCGTGAGGTCGCAGATGCTGCTTGGAAGACACGAGACATTGGCCCTAACCGTGAGCTATTTCCCCAACGGCCTTCTTTTAGATTTCAAGTATCATCACTAACGTAGTTCTTAGAGGGTTGGCTAAAGGTATCCAAAGAGGATCTTGACGCGATGGGAGAAAGTTCGGTAGAGTTCAATGACGGTTCCGGATATTTAATGTATATGGACGTGTTCCATCAGCTCCACTGTCTTAATTATCTGCGGAAAAAGCTGGATCCATGGAAGGCGGATTACTTGTCCGTTCCCTCTGACGGGAACTTCCCCGAGAGGTATCATACCGGTCAGTTGCCCTATTCCTGGTTGTGTTGTCTCATACTCAGCTATGAACTTCAAGGCCAAATTTTAATCTCGATGTTAATATTAGAGTGATTAGAGCTAACGTTCAGCTTAGCTCACTGTATTGACTCTATTCGTATGTCTCTCGAATGCCATGGAGATCTCTCCTTGGTTCCACAGCGATGGGCGGATGGCTGGGGAGAGCCATGGCCAGTGGTTGAGAGCCTACATGTATGTCGTGATTATGACAGGATTCAAAAATGGGCCCACTCAAGGCAGCCGAAAGTTGCGGGATTGCTGGTTCACCCTACTCTAGGCACTGTAGTTACAGGACATCTCAACTCTTCCGCGTTGCCTGTTTACTGGGAGGATCACGACGAGATATAGAGTTACAGAGCTGTACAGTGTCAAGTGAGCTACCGTAGGTAACTATGCAATCAGTGTGCAATAGGTCAGCATTTGCTACAACCCACCAAAATTGAGTGCCCAACAAAAACAAGCCTATAAAGTCCCACGTAAACGTAGTTTTTACGAAATTTTTTTGGTAAAACGGTCTCACAGAGCTGCATTATATAGAGGTTCAGTCGAGTCCCTTCGGAAACTCGATTTTCCGGATGTACTCTATCACTGCCACTTTAGCTGCCCGCAACACTACCACGCTTTTATATTATTGATATACCAGATAATTAGACTTCTTAGATGTATTTATCGACTTATTTTGGAATTTTTCTGTAGCTTCAGCAGCGCGATCGGGAACTTTTGAGCTTTCACTACGGCTAACTACGCAGTCTTACGTCTTATATAGCCCACCGGCTGATTATTATTATTATTATTATTATTTTAGTTTAGCGTCCTGTGTCAGCCGGTAGGCTATATAAGACGTGCAGGCTA